ATAAGCACGCAAATACTGTATAATGATTTCTCCAACTACAATTCATAGCAAGTTACAATTGAATCATATAATTAATACAAATAATACTATAAAATAAGAGATAAAAACTACTAATGATAGTTACAACCCTAATGGAAATAATTACCATAGCTAATCTTGTCACCTCAGCCTGGTGAGGTGTCAAACAGGTTTAGCAGACAAAAAATAGGGACTATATCTGCTAGGAAATAATTGCCATGCTCTACTTTTGAACCTGCTGTCAATAAACTGTCCCAGTGTTCTTCCTCTATTGGCTTCATAAAAGGGACAGTACAGGACATAAAGTTTACAATCATCCACTTCTCCCTCGTCACAGGGTCAAAGGAACTTTTATGCAGGGATGCTACAGAATCTGCCTTCAAGGTATACTGATGGCATGGTTCAAAAGTATAAGCTAGTAAATGCCTTCAGTAAAAGTGCACTGATAAGAACCATGAGTTAAATATACAGTATTTTTCTTAAACTGTGGGTATCACAGGGAGATTTTTTTTTCCAATGCTGAATCAAACCAGCATTTCAACTCGGCACCACATTGGTGGAGCTAGCCACCAATCTTTTTTTTTTTTTTTTTTTGTGGCACTATCCAACAAAGGCAAGGGATATGTCTGCAAATATCAGGCAGCATATTTGGTTCCCTTTTCAGTAGTGCTAAGTTTAACTAAGTGGTCTTTCAGGAGGCTATCAAAATATTTGAACTGTCAGGTCTGTTCTTACAGAAATCAAAGGCAGCCCTACCACATCCTTAGAGGCATAGGAGGGATGACCTGAGGAAGACCCAGAATTTCCCTTTAAAAGTTGTTCTGGATGACTTCCATATATGAATATGTGTGTGCAGACTCACCAGATAAAATCTTCTTCCCCTATCCTCCCCTGGCCATGTTGCACTCACAGTGAGTCCGATCCTCCATAACTTGAAATAGTTACTAGTGTTATGAATTACACTAATGGAGGAAGGTACTGCTTTGGTTCCTTCACCAGGTGATGGATAGCAGGTGGTGGGTTGTGAGCTGCAACCAATTTTAAACCAGTCCAGTGCACTTAGGTATGCTTTGCACACTAGAAAACCCCAGTTTCTCTATTAGTTATGTTTACATCCCACTTTCCTTCAAAGATCTCATGGCAACATACATGGTCTTCCTCTCTCCATTTAAACTTCACAGCTACTCTGTGGGTTAGCTTAGGTTAAGAGAAAATGGCTAGCTCAAGACCACCCATTTAGTTTCCTGGCCCAGCAGGGGCTAGAACCTAAATCTCCCAAGTCCCAAAGCAACACTGTATGCCAGCTTGAATCTCAAAGTGTCTTCAGTTACTTTACATTAGGAGTGATAATTTGTCTTAGATCATTAGATCATCTTCATTTTTAATCCACCTTGATTGGATTCCATTCAGTATGTTGCTTTTTTGCAGCATTGTTACAAGTCAGGCTACTTAGAATCCACAATAAGCTGTCACATATTATCTCTGAAGACAAGCGTTTTACCCTAAGTTCTTATTTTGCAAGGCTTGTTTTATTTGACTCCAAATCCTACTGGATTTCAGTAAAAACCATTCTGCTCTGCTGATGAATCCCATGTTTTTAGCAGAGCTTAGAAAAGTTACTTTTTTGGACCATATAACTGGGAATTACTAGTTGAAATTGCTACAATTGGGAACCATGGGCCAAAATTTTCAAAGCTCTTGCTTTACGTATGAAACAATCACTAATTAGAAAAAAAGATGGTAAAGACTTTCAGTTTTGTAACTATTTCATCTTTTTCACATTATAGCATACCTGAAATCCTAATGCATTACTATAGCTGGACTTAATTCTTTCAAGTTAATAAATGATGAACCTCTACAGCAACTTAAGCATTCCTCTAGATAGCAGGATGCAATGCATGTGTTAGAGGAAGTCCGTTTATCCCCTTTTATCTGTGGCAAACTATGGGAACTCCTTTGATATGTATTTATGAATTCTTAACTCTAGTTGGGGGAAATTTCCTCTTTCCTTCAACAAACAAGCAAATAACTTTACAACCGCCTACTTCCTCTTAAATAGGCACTTTGAATTTAATCACAGGTCATTAATTTCCTCCCTTTAGCTTCTTGCCCTTAACTCTTGAAGTCCTTTTTTTTAAAGTCTTCAGCAGCAATAACTTTACTAATTACAACCTGTGGAAAAGGGCTATGCCTAGCATCTGCTTTGGTTACCATTAAATACCTGGGGATGTTAAGCACATGTGTTATTTATCTATATGAACGCTCAGTTATTTCCCCTTCTAAGAACACCAGTTTAACACATGAAAACAGATCTTTTTAATCATTAGAAAAAATAAGCAATGGGATAGTAACTAAAAATAAAGTATGGGGAACATATGTGGACACTGTTTTTTAACTTATGGTTCCCATCTTTTTGTATAAAGAAAGTAAACCAGCTATCTTCTATTTGTTCCCTTCCCTCTCCCTCTCCTTCCTCTACCTCTTCATTTCTGCATTAATAGATAAGATGTATCAGTCTTGTACTTTCCTTTATGTTAAGCTATTGCTGAAGTCAATAAATTCTCCTCTGTAAGAAGGGATCAAGAACTGATGTCCTTTATATAGTTTTAATGGCTTGTTCAGAAGCGCCATATTTTTGCTTTTAAGCTTTATAAGTAGCTGTCAATGTTTAAGTAGGATCATTGCAATCCAAGAGAAATAACGCCATGAGTATAGGAATATCCTGTACTTTCACTTAACTATATTCTTGTCATTTCATGAAGCTGAGAACATATGTAGTTAACACATTCTACATCTTTCATAAGGTTTCCAAAAGCTATATTTTCCCCATTCACTGCTTCTTTATGAAAGAGTGGGAAGAGGCATGTGAACAATTCCCTGATGCAGGGACTTTGTTGGGTTTTTGAGAAATACAAACTGTGAGTTTGTTGAAAGAAGTATTTCAGTTTATCAATAGAGGCAAACTGAAAGTTCTCCAAAAAGTGCAGACAGGATTCTGCCATTTTTATTTAATGTTAGATTAATTATTAACCTTGATCCTGAAATATGATTGGTAGCTTCTGGCTTCTTCTTCTTTTTTCATACAAGCCGCTCAATTGCTTGCATATTATCATGGAAATGTGTTTTTAATTATCTATACTCCATTATGTTCTTGAGGCTGTGAATGACCAAATGTTGGCCCCTTGCAAACAAATTAAACTTTGCCTACTTGCTGTTTTAGCAGTTGAAGTGTCTGAATGAGCATAAATCATTGCACTTGCAAACGTATTTGTAAGAACCAAAGCTCTTTTGAAAAAAAAAACAGAAAAGACTAATTTCCTTCACAAAAATAGGGGCAGAGACACAAATACAGGCATACAGAGTGGGAAAAAAGACAACAGTTGCAAAGATGCAATAGAGACAGCATAACAAAGCCAGTGACAGAAATTCTTTAATCCCTGACAGTGCTGTGCTTCCCCACACTCTCTCATCTCACAGTATGGTTTTTTCTCTTTGCTGAAACTGCTCAAAGTCTAAAACAGGCCATGATTTTAATGTTCAGTCCTTATCTTGGGTACATTTATCAAAGCTGAGCAGATTTTTACTCTGTTTTCCATTAAACTTTTGGAAAACAAAACAGAGTGCGCCAACACTCTCTGGAGACACATTTTCCTATCTGAGAAAAGTTTCTGGAACTGACAATGTCAACAATGGATTCTGTAGATCTGGAACCTAGTCAATATAATCTTTGTCTACTCTAGAGGAGATGTCAGTGGTCGCTGTTAGTTCTTTTGTGAATGCTCCAAACAGGCAACAAATTTCATAGCCTTGTTCCCAGTCCTGCAACTCCCATGAGTTTTTTTTTTTTGGGGGGGGAGGAACAGACTAGCAGGCAAGGGAAACCACGCATGGCGATTTGTAATCTTCCACCTTAATTCATGCAAATTTGAAACCAGGGCACTTAATACCCATGGCTCTTAACTGAGAGTCTTCTATTCTCATGTGCTACCCAGCGCAAACACAATCCAAATCCTTCACAAAATCATCTCTCTCTCTCTCTCTCTCTCTCTCTCTCTCTCTCTCTTTGCCAGCATCAATAGCCTCTGCCCCCTGCTGCTCAACTGGCTTCAAGGCTGCTGGTGGTATGATTCAATTCGCAGAACTCCTCTGATCTCTTTCTTTTATTCCAAAGGAGACTGGGTAGTCTTGGGAGGAAGTGAAGGTGCTTAGCAGTCTCCCAGAAACTGTTCCTGTTTTTCCAACAACTGGAGAGTTTCTATTAGACTCTTCTCCCTCCCTCCAGTTTTTGGGCACCTTTGCCAGGCAGCAGTTTTAAGGCTTGTAGACACAAGAACTCCATTGCACAATCCAGAAGAAGACTGTCTTCTACAAATGTCTTAATGTTGGTTGTTTCCCTTAAGGAGTTCATTTGAGATATGTTAAGGGAGGACAACTGAATCTTCTAATTATCTAGGGCAGCAACGCTTTGCTGCTAAAACAAGAGGTTCGGCGCTCACACCTTCACAAAACCGGTGCCTTGGGAATTGTGTTCAAAAATCCCAAATGTGGGAGCTTTCTGAGGTTCTGAGATTTCACCAGTGGCAGAGGGAAAGTCACTCTGCACATGCTCAAATGCGCACTTCTCATGATTATTTCACACGTTGTGTCAGAGAACCATGCGGTTGCAGTGAATTTGTTTTTCCTTTTATCCCGGAGAAGCCCTGACTCCTGGAAGCTCAATTTTAGGTCACCACACACAGGATGGTGCTCAGATGTGTGCAGACACATGCATCTACTCATGTTTGTTACACTGCACGCATACACTTCACCCTTCTGGTGTTAATCCAGTGTTTTTCCAGTAGAGTGGGCTACCAGTCAAGTAATAAAGCACTAAAAAGGAGAGTCTCTGAGAAGTTTCCTTTCCCAAGGGACTACTTTGAGAGTGCCTTTCTCTCTCAGTTAATGTACCCGTGAGGTCCCTCCCCTCCCCCATACCCTATTACCTGCACAAGGAGTGTTGACTGCCCTCATCGCGCGCTTCCCGCTCTGTCCCACAGAAAGCAGCTCCCAACCTTCAGCCACGCCTCCTTCCAGTCCTGTCCTCTTGCCTTCCTCTTCAGACATCCTAAGCCACCCGACAAAGAGGGGCCGCTTCTCCCTCACGAGGTCCCTTCTCTTCCCCTTCCCCCGTCCAGTTCTCTCCGCTGCTTCCTTCTCCCCACACTTCTGGTCAACCGAAGTCACCAGGAGAGGGGTGTGCCCGGGCAAGCGGGGTGGCATGGGGGGGTGAGGCGCAGACGGAGCCAGCCAGCTTTTCCTCCCCTCCACACACGGGCAGGGACAAGGGAAGGACCCAGGGAAGGGGTGGGGGAGAAGCCAAACAGCCAGCCAACTCCTCCCTTCAGCCAGGCAGCAGAAGGGACTTCAACAGACGCGAGAGAAAGGTGGTCTCTGAGCGCGCTCCCCTCCTGCTCTTCTTCCCGCTCAGCCCCAGCGTCCGCGGGAAGGCAAGCAGAACAGGAGCAGCGGCGGCGGCGACAGCAAGACAGGCTGCTGACAGCCTCGGAGGAGGCTCCGAGGAACCCGACACTCCCTTCCCCTTTATTATTAGGCGCACACCCCAAATCTCCTCTTCTCCCCTCAGCTGTCTCGGGAGAAGCCGACTGACAGGCCTCCCCGTCCCGCCACGGGGTCTGGGGGTGTGTGTGTGGCGAGAGCAGCCCTGAGCTTGCGTCAACCTCCGTCCCCAGCCTTGCGAACAAAGCCAGGGACGGGCGGCGGCGGCGGCCCCCGCGGCAACATACACACCCGGCTCCCACCAGCACCCCAGGGACGCCCAGAGGGGGTGGGCCACGGCAGGCAGCGCGCCGAAGGCGGCGGAGAGGCGTTGGCCCGCGGCAGGGGCGGAGCGGGGAGAGGGGGCGCCTCGCCTTCTCCCGCGCGCCTTCAGCCCCAAGTTCCCCGCGTCGCCTGAAGAGCGTCGGCGGCCACGGCCCCCTCCCCTCATTCCCCGGCTCCGCCACCCTGCCCCCGTTCCTCGCCCAGTTCCTCGCCGCCTCTTCTCCTCTGCCGTCACATTGTCTCGGAGACAAAGACTCCACGCCCATCCTCGCCCCCCAAGAAAGCCTCGTGCTTGGAGGGGACGCGGAAAGCCGGGCCAGGAGCGAGGGCGGCGAGCCGCGAGCCCCGCGGGAGGCGCGTTGTGTGGCGTGTGTGTGTGTGTGTGTGTGTGTGTGTCTGTGCGTGGGGGGTGGTGGCAGCTCCGCCGAGGCAACCGCCCCTCCCGTCGTGCCCGCCGGAGGGCAGCGGGGCAAAGTCGCCCCCGAGCCAGAAATATTAGAAACGGGAGAAAGCGCGGAGGACAGCGAGGCGGAGGAGGAGGAGGAAGGGCGGGGGAAAAGGGCGAAAGATCCCGGCGCGCTTCCAACAAAACAAACGTACCCAGTGCTCGTCTGCTCGCTCGTGCAAACAGAAGCACGACACGAAGGAAACAGAAAACTGGATGTATTCCTCTTCCCAGCCCACAAAAGAAGCGGCGCACCCGCCCCCCCCGGGGAGAGAAAGTGGCTTGTCCCAAGCCCTCGCCTGCCGCCGGTGCGCCGCTTCATCCTCATCCGCGTTATCCTCCTCAAGCCCCGTCCTGCGGTCTTGCAGGACCGGGCAAACCGCTGCTCCTCGCATCGCAGCCTGCCGGATGGCTCCCCAACGCAACCCCACACAATACCACACCTCTCACACACTCACACCGAGGACAATCGGGATCCCGGAGCGCAGCGCTGGGCAGCGGTTCACGTACCTCGTCGGTGCATGTATCTGGGAAGCTTAAGAGGACAGGACTAGCTGATGGAGTGTCCCATTTAGTAATCCATTTAAGGGGATCGCTCAGCGAAACTCGATCCACTCTCGCCGATGCAATCCTTTGTCATTATTACATGTGGGCTTCGGAGGGGCAGCAGGGGCGAGGAGGACGGGGAGGGGGGGAAATCTAATATTTCGACTTTCGGGAATACGAAGGCGATGTGTTCATCTCCACGGAGGGGGGAAAAGAGGGCCAGGGCGGGTGTGGGAAAGGGGGGGGGGGAATAGCAAAAGAGCGCCGGTTACTCCTCTTCCAAGCGCCGCTCGGCTTTGCACTCCAGTAAGTCCCCTTCCGACGGGTCTCGGGCGAAGACTTGCCAGGGTCTCGCCCTGCCTCTCCCCAAAAGTGGTCCCGGCTGGCGAGGCTGTCCGGGGAAAACTCCGAGGTAGGCAGCGCTCCTCCTTGTGCCCCAGCGGGAAAGCGCGCTTTGCCCGGGCTCTCCTGGTCATTGAACTGCTTTGGGGGGATTGACTTCGGAGCCGCGTCTCTCTCGCCCTCGCTCTCCCCCGTGCCCTGCCTCTCTTCCCCCTGCTAGTCTCCGTCCCAACTCTTCTGTCACTGGAAAGCAGCTTGGCTGGAGGTGGAGTCAAATCCCGGGCTGGATTCCGTGGAAACGGACTGGCCCGATAATTATTTCCACCGATTACACCCACTTCTGCGCATGAACGACTGTGGGACGTTTGTGCATGTGTGTGTGTGGGGGGGTAGGGCAACGGTGGTGGTGGGGAGGGTCTGTGATGCAGGGTGGGTACTGGCAAATTTCCAACAGAATTGCTCACCAGTCTATCTTCAGAGAGGCACCATCGAGAGTGATAAATTGGTTCCCCCCCTTCCCCCCCCCCGTCTCTGCGTCCGCTATACTGGACGATGGGGAGGCTTATGGGGTGAAACGGAGAGACGCGGAGTGAGTTTCTGCCTAATTAAAAAAACCGATTTAAAAAAGAAAAGAAAAGGCAGGCCGAAGTGGGGATGTGCGTGGAATACTCCAAAGCATGAGCTACAAAGAAGGATTTGTCCATCGATTTTTTTAAATAGAAAAGTTTAAAGGAGATGTATTAAGTCCTTCTTATCCCAGCAAAGATACGGATACATTGCAATAAGTGATACGAGTGAACGAAGTGACTCTGAACTCAGTTTCTTCCGAAAAAAAACAGAAAAGGGCTGTAAGTTTACAGAGCCCAAAGGCAATGGGCATCAAGCACGGCGGGCCGGGATTCCACGGGCAGCAGTGGCTCTCGGTCGTCGAAAGCCCCTCACCGGGTGTGACTGGACTGACACGTGTGCGTGACCGTTGTGTGCTGACAGTAAGCTTTCGGCATCAGGCACCCTTCCTCTGGAAGTCAGCCGCGTTGACCTCCGCGGTGCTCCCTTCCCAATAGACGTGGCTAGGATTGCGCTCCAAGGACGGACGTTTCAGCCATGAAACCTCTCTCTCTTTGTGTGTGTGTGTGTGTGTGTACTGTATCTCTCTTTCTCTCTCTCTCTGCGCGTTTCAGAAAATGTTGACAGGGCCGTCTTTCCGTATTGGGGTGACACATGGAATGTGGGAAAGGCAAGTATTTCCCCGAAGGCTGTTGGCAAGGAAGCCACCCTGCCTGGCTAAAGACCATCTTGGGAAAACATGTCGAAAAATCAATAAACCTCATTTCCGTGTGTGTGTGTGAATGATACTTGAGGAGCACGCATATTATATGTGTGATGTGTATGTGCGCGCGTGTGTGCGCGCGTACCGCTTTTCATAGTTGGCATCAAACTTTCCCGGACTTTTGCGCGGAACGAACCCGGAACGGAGCAGAAAAACAGGCTCGGAGGGGGAGCCGCGCGCTTGCCAAGTGCTTTGGGTCAAGGACCGCGTGCGAGAGAGGTTCCCGTAGCGGTGAAGAGAGGAGCGGGACGAGCCCCGGGGCGCCCGCTCTGCCTGGGCCCCTAGCGAGGGCTGCGGGGGCGCCACGGGCGAAGCTGCAGCTCTCGGGGCATCCCGCCTTATAACGGGAACCGGAGCGCCAGGAGCGCGCCCCTCCGGCCACCTGGGCCCGCAGAAAAGCTGCCCCGGGGCCTCACCGGCACGGCGCGGGCCCAAGATTTCCCTTCTCCGTCACGACGGCGGCGCTTTCGCCCGGGGAGACCGGCCGTGGCGCGGGATTTCTCTCGTGCTGTTCGCCCCTTTCCCC